TTTAGTGTGCCCAATGGGTCTGCAGTTATGTGGGTGACGCACGTGCCTCCCTTACACAGGTCACAGGATAGGGTGGCCTTCCGCGGAGGTGGCTTAGAGAGGTTCAGCAGAGAGCTTGTGCTGCTTTCCTTGTTCTTCTTTCTCTTCCTTCTAAGACCACAGAAGCTACAACAAACTAGGAAAAGCTAAAGGAGAAGTGCTGGTAATTGTTATGGATTTTTCTAGATTGTGCAGGTTGACTCACCGCGTTCCCTGCTGGCTGTAGAAGACAGTGGTGCTGCTGTAGGTCCATAGCTTACCTCGAGGTGTACCTCTAGAAGGAAGAAGGCTTTTTAGTCCTTCTTGGTTATGCTGACAGGAGCTTGATAACAAGATTTATTTTTTAGTGCAATAACTAGTAGTTGTTGCTTTGATCCAAAAAAAAAAAAAGTCATTGTTTCTAAGTCCTAGATTCCCATGGACAAAAATGATCATTTTATTGTACTTCCTCTCCACACCTGAATCCTAAACTCATTCATTCATTCACTAACCCTTTTCCAAACAAGAATTTACCTGCCCTGTTAAAGCTCGAAGAAATAAATATCCCTACCTAATTTTCTTCAGGAGTCCTTTAGCTATTCTAGGCTGTTCTGGGGTCTTACTTTCACTACAAAGTTTAGAGTTGAGGGAGTGTCCTCAAAAATTTTAGGATTTTTTTTTTTTTTTTTGCTAAAATCACATTGATTGATATGAATCAGCCTGGGGAAAACTGACATGCTGGCTACACTGATTGTATGAAACCTGATAAATATATAAGGGCCAACTCCATATAAATATTAATGCTCCTCAATAGTTACAGGTATTTTCTATGGCACACTGTTGTAATTTTTATAGCTATGTAGTCTAAATCATCATTGTTATAACAAATAGTATCTTTTGTAATGTATATTTTGTATTAGAAATGCAACTTGTTATTGTATAGTAGTTTTGTAGTCAATCACTTTGTGAAACGTTTCATGGGTGTGTGTTTATATGAGTGTGTGTGTGTGTGTGTGTATTTGATATAGGGTCTCACTGCACAGCTCAGACTCAGAAGGATCCTCCTGTTTTCAGCCTCCCCACCACTGGGAATGCAGGTATGCACCACCACACCCAGCTTCTGTAGCCAGCTCCGTGCACCTGGGGCAGGGCTGGCCCAGCATGTGGTGCCATGGATCGAACCCTGGTCTCTTAGCTGGCCTAAGCAGGCGCCTTCTATAATAATTTCTAATAATTTACCTATAAGTTATTTTGAGGTTTTTGTGTCAATAATCATGTCATGTACAAAGGAAGGCAGTTTTATGTTTGTTGCCAGTGTTGAAACTTTGCATGTTTTTCTACTGCTTTGTAACAGCTCTAATGTTATATAACACATATAAAATAGCATTCATTCTTTTCAGAAGTCACAAACTGCCAGCCATCAGTGTCATCTTATTTAGAAGTTTCTCTTTATCCTAAGAAGAAACTTTTTTTTTAATTTAGTACAGGGTTTACAGGGTCTCACTAGGTAGATCAGACTTGTAGCGATCCTCTTGTTTAAAGCCTTCCAAGCGCTGGGATTACAGGTACACACCACCGTGCCCATTCTCCAAGAAAAAACTTTGTAACCTGCAATAAGACTATCCCTGTCCCTCTCTTCACCTCACATGTGTCCACTTTTGATCTGACATTCCTGTTTGCCTTTTGCGTATATCTGTGGGGACAAAAGAGACAGAAGCCCCAAGAGCTGAGCCCACAGAGGTTTCCTGCCACCCTCTCCTCAGAGCAGGGCCCGCCTGACTTCTCTCAGCCCAGGTTTACTGTCCTTTATATTGTTTGAGGCTTTTCAGGAAACCCATCTCCTTAGCTAACAAATGTATGATAAAGGCATCCTGCTGAGGGGCTGCAGGGGAAGGAGAGTACGGGTAGGCACTGTAAACATGAAGGCATTTCCCAAAGAAGTGCCCCAAGAATCTTCGGGCGGGCGAGGAAGCAGGCCTCTTCCCTGTGCAGCTCTGTCCGCGTGACCCTAAGCAGGGAGCGCCACTCATGACTAGAGACTCCTAGGTGACAGAGGGCAGAGTGGAAGAGCCGCAGAGGAGCAGCAGGGCTGTGGCTCATGGCCACGTTCAGCCTCCATAGAACCAGTTTTCTGAGAACCGTTGTGAACTCTAAGAGGGGAGCTGCAGCCACCCCCTGTCCCCTACAGCTGTGAGGCTCTGTGGAAGCCCCTGCCTGGTGAGAAATCAGCCCCTCTCTACTCCTCCTTGACATCTGACCTTGTCAGGTAGCACGGTCTGAAGATGAAGAGCATGCGCGAGATCCCCACTGCTGCAGCCACGCAGACCCGCAGTCGGGTGGGCCTGAGCCCCGGGCCGCCTTGATCCTCCTCCATCGCCCATCCCCCTGCGCGCTCGCCCCTTGCACGCGCGCCCAGCCCAGAGGTCTGACCCACGTGCTAGCACAGCCAGCTGGTTCTTGGAGGAGCCTGGGCAGGCAGAAAGCTTACTGTGAATAAAAAGTCGAGTGAGATTCTATTGAGACTAGTAGAACGGGACGGTGGCACCGTTCTCTTCACGTCAGAGCCCAGTTCAAACCACATCCTGAGAGCTGTTGATTCATTAAACAAGGCAGGGAGCAGAGCAGCAAATCTTTGCTCCCAAACTTGCTCGCGGGATGGGAAGCGATGGCTGTGAGTCTGGACCCCCTGGGGACCCGCTGGTGGTCTTCTCTCCATGGTCTTCTCACATGGTCTCCTGTGAGAAGACCTCCTATCCAGACCCATTATCAGCCTCCTATCCAGACCCCCGAGGGATATTGAGTGCGTCCCATTGTAACATACTCCTTCTCCAACCACAGCCGCACTGCCCCGAAAGCAAGAGCTTTGTGAACAGATCCATCCTAAGGCTGGCAAAGCTGAAAATGAGAACATAATCAGTGTCTTCCAGGTCAGCACTTGTAATGGAGAAGTATTGCGTTGCAATTCTTTGTGCCAAGCAGGGAACTATGTGATGTCGAGAGGCAAGACCTTCCCCGAAATACCTGTTTGTTAGTCAAGTAGAAAATTATAGACATGCAAACCAGGCATGGGACACATGCCTGTAATCCCAGTGCCGGCGAGGCTGAGACAGGAGGATCACTGCGCGTTGATCTAGGAGTGAGATCCTGAACAACCTGTAGCCCCTTCCCTAAATAATAATAATTAATAATAATAATAATAATAATAAATAAAACGAGACCCTGTATCAAAAAAAGTATTAAAAAAAGAAAATTATAGACACACAAGCAAAGAATTGTGCATAGGGCCAAGCAGCTCCGCATGGGAGCGCTGGTTACATGGAGCCTCCGGGATGGGCACCCAGTCTGGTGAGAGGCTCAGCGGAGGCTGCCACCTCAACGGAAGTGGAGGAATGTGTGGTGTTGCACAGGGTACTGAATATACTGGAGAACAGTGGACTGCAACTCATAACCAATGCCAGTAAAATTCAGAGATTCTCACCACAAAAAAATAGATGTTTTTGACCATGTACCCGTTGATTTATTTGATCTAGTCATTCCACGTCATATACACAAGTGGTTGCATCCTCTGTACCCCATTTGTGTGCTGTTAATTGACAATGAAAAAGAACAAAAGGTAAAGGAGGACCTCTGTGTGAGGCTGTGGGCAGGCCACACCCAGAAGGAATCCACAGAGAGGTAGAGCACTGGTGCAGCAGTGCCACAGGCTGGCCTTCCGCAGGGACTGGGGAAGGGAGGGGATGGCAGCTTGCTCAAGAGCCATTCTACTCTGAGCAGAAAAGTACTTGAAAGGCTGCAGCCAGTCGCCCCCTCCCGAGGGCTTCTTCTCAGATTTCTCTAAATCCCTATACTCCCACTCACCACTCTGCTTAAGACAGAAGCTGGAGTTCAAGGGCTCCAGTGAAAAGTCTTTTCCTGTTCGGTAAGCCTCACTCACCAGCACTGGCAAGTAGGTTTTCTTGGTTTTCTCTCTTCTTTCCTTCCCAGCCAGAATATACCATAAAAGCCAGGTGTGGTGGCACACACCTGTAATCCCAGCCCTTGAGAGGCTGAGCAGCTGGATGGGCAAGAGTTTGAGGCCAGCCTGGGCTACACAGTAATAGCCTTTCTCAAAAAAAAAAAAAAAAAAAAAAAAAAACTGGGGTGGGGTATGAGATAGTATACCGTGATTGCAGCCCAACTCATATTTTTTTCACAGACATTATTGAATTGAGAAGTGGACGATAAATTTGAGCTCCTAATTGCCATTTGACATAAAAATAATAAAACCTGCCAAAGACAAATCGGCCCAATAAGCTGGGAGGCCTTGAAGGTTTTAACTTTGCATTTGCTTTTTCTTTATACTCAAAGGGGCAATTCCTTTATGAGAAACACCACGGGAGAAGAAACAATAGAGGTATTTTCCATGTGGAACTTATTTCATGTAAAGACTTAAACAGAAAATTATAAAATTATAGTATAAAATCGTTGGTTTGTAACTGAATAAATTTGAAGTGAATATGTGTACAAGTAGCTTTGACAAAAATAACCTTCTTTGTAAGTGCTACAGAACTCGTGTAAGCATATGAAATTAAATTTTCAAGATGCTTTTTCATAGTGAATCTCATCCATGTCAACAACCTACTAATGGTTCAAGAAGTTTAAAATCTTTAATGAGGCTCCTACAGTAAAATTCTGGTCATATGTAAATGAATGTTTGAAAAAAGCCTCATTATCAGAAAAACAATAGTTCTTTAGCGAGTTCACACATCCTGAAAGATGACAATACCGCCTTAACTGTGGTAAGCACAGCGAAAGCAATTTTTCAAGTTGTATTAATAAATTTTGCTTGTAGAATAATTTTTGAGACTGTTGTGATTGTTACAGGAAATTGAGTTTCTGTTCCCTGTCACTTTTACTTTCCTTCTAACTGGACTTTCTTCCCACACTCAGTGAGCTACTTGAACCCAGATATTTAAAAGTCAAATATTCTCATTTCTACGCAGGTCTGATTACCACCACCTCAAGGAAATTGGATCGAGAACAGCAGGCAGAACATTTTCTGGAGGTAAGCACGTAGAGAACCGACATTCCTTAAAACTGACTTTCGCTATTCTTCTTTAACCTTCATGACAGATGAGAACTTTAATATTTGAACAGTGGGTTTCATGGGAAGAGACCACTGTTGGGCTGATTGGTTCAGAATTCAGAGATTCTGGTGCCTTCCTCTCAACATGCTCCTGTGAGCTAAGCAAGGGCAGCCTTCACCATCCCCTAAAGACAGGCAGGAGTGTTGACATAGTCACCCCAGGTCTAGGGCCCTCTGTTGGTCATTGGAAAGTAAGGTCCCTAAGCAGAGTCCAGGAGCCCTGTGGCCCCTCGGGCTACTAAGTGTAGAACCAGAAAGAGCAATGGTGTCACCCACCCGTTAACCTGAAGCGCATCCTTTGTGAAGAATCCTGTCGCTTCCCTTCTGGTGTCTTTTCCAGGGCAGGCGAGAGGGCTGGGAGGGAAGACCTGTGAGGTGATTCACAGCCTGAGATGACTGCTTCTGAAACCATAAAATGTGCTCCTATAATTCATTAAGACAGGAACAGGCGCAGTAAAGTCTAAGAGCATTATTTCTGGAGAGAGGAAAAAAACTGTAAGGCACGGGATGAGCAAATAGATATGAAAGAGATTTGCAGAGCATTCGCTGTGTATCAAGTATTGTTAGTGGGGAGTGTGAGGCCTGGTTAGTCTGCATGACATTGAGATTTAGGTGACAAAGTCATACTCTGCAGCCAGGACTTCATTAATAGTCTGTAATGTCCCCATGCTACTAAAATGATCTTTTTTGTTTTTAAAGCCCACTTATTGCTATCTATCCACTACACACACACACACACACAAATATACACACACACACACACACACACACACACACACATACACACTCCTGTGGTAGGATCTCCTCTGGTGTCCTCCTTTAAATTATTTTAGCAATAATGATTTATTTAGAGACTCAGGAGGGCCATGGAGACAGCTCTGCTGTCTAAGCACCTGCCTACTCAAGCGCAGGGACTGGGGTCCTATCCCCAGCACCACATGCCCCACTGGTCCCGCCCTCAGGCACAATGAGTGGGCCACGGAGACCAGGCATAGTGGCATGTTCCTGTAATCCCAGCACTGGAGAGGCTGAAAACAGGGGGAACACTACTGAGTCCAAGTTGTGTAGCGAGACACTGCACAAAATACATAAAATTAAGTAAAAAAGAGAAGACTCCTGAGCTAGAAATCGGTTTGCAAGGGTTTTAAGCTGTACTGCTATGGTTAGCTTTAAGCTTTCAGCGATGCCATTTAGTTGCCCAAGCCTCAGTTTCCCCTACTGTGAAGTGTGTCAAATCATTAGCAATCCCTATACCTATTAGGATCAAACCTTATATCAAAGTATCTTTGAAACTTGTAAAATATGATGCATAATAAAGGATTATTATCATGCAGTAAGAACTCTGATAATCCTTTTAAAACACTGCTATCATCTTATAAGGATAGAAGCCTCCAGAGTACCAACATAAATATAATAATTCTTTTCTTCAAAAATCGTATCAGTGGGCTACAGTGTCTACTGGATCCAGAATTACAGCACATTTGCCAGAATAATAAAACCTTTATGTTGTATTTATGTGCTGCTTTACTCTCCAGAAGAGAGCCCAGGACACCTGGAGAGGCTATGCTCTTGGAGAGCTGAACCCATTACCTCCCAGCAGGAGGAAGGGAGGGGGTCTCATTAGCTGCGGAGTCTAGCTGAGATCACTTACTGCCTGCTCCTCACAAGATGGTGTGGTCAGGGGTGGGCAGCCCGGAGCTCAGTGAAGATGAAGCTAAGATAGGGACAAGAGCCAAGGTGCTCACCAGGCATTGGAGTTCACTGGCACAAAGAATCCTGATGCTTTCACATCCTTTACGGACTTCCAGAAATACAGAGCATTGAATCTTTGTGTGGAACTAACAGGGTTTGAGGCCTATAACCTAATTTCACAGAACCTCCTCCTGTGGAGAGGTAGAACATCCTGTTGTTCAGTGATTAACATATAAGTAAAACCTCCAGGCCAGTGTCTGGTGCTAAGCAGGTACTCAGAGAAGGATAGTTATAATGGC